TTTACGTACATATTTTAATATACGTTCATAAATTTATATATATTTGCTGCAATACCTATTACATGAATAGTTTTATCTGACAATAGTGCATCGTTGCAAAATCATCATTGATTATTTATTAACGTTTAACTAGTTTTCTTAAAAAAAATGTCCCGCTTGCCTCGAGATTACTTAACAAGTGAATATACTATAAAATATAACACACATGAAACTTTTTGCCTGGTGATTTAATGGTATGATGTCATTTACGATTGAAAATGACACAGCACATCACTGTGGTCTATACCAGTGGCGCAACCAAGGGGGGGGGTCCCCGGGTCCGGACCCCCCCCTTGAACCATGTCGTATCTTTCTAAAATAATAAAAATGTTTGACAAAATTGAATAATTGATCCGATTCAGTACCGAGTACAGCTGCTGTGATATTGTGATAATAAAAACGCCTTATAGTTGATAAGAACAAATTACGTGTAAGCTCGTATCGAGAAGTCACCGTTGCAAAAGATTACCATATAACTTTTCTGAGTATTACCATACAGTCACGCACGGATAATAGATATCTATTATCCGTGACAGTCACGCGCTTGCATTGATAATAATTGGTGTTATCGTGTACTATTTGTTTTTACTGTTAACAAATCGTTTGTCGTTTTTCGTAGTTTTCAGTTTTTTTTTTGGCATTTACATAGGTATAGTTACTTTTACTAATATTATAAAATACTTATAAATTTAATATGAGTAAACGGAGCATAATTGATTATTTTAAAACATCAAATGTACCGGCTAAAGTCTGTAGGGGAGAAGAACCACTAGAAGTCCAAACTTCAGAAATACATTCGGATCTAGACACTTCAAATGTACATAGTATTTTTGACATACAGCTAATGGTTGGTAAAAAATTTACTGATGCTGAAAAACTTCAACATCTAGAAAATCTATGGACACCAGGTAAGAACTCAGTATTTCCTTCTACGCAGCATGGCAAAAAACAATTAAAATTTCAATTTGTATGGTTAGAAAATTGGAAATGGCTAGCTTATAGTAAAATTGAAGACGGTGCTTACTGCAAATATTGTGTGCTTTTTTCCAAATATAGAGGTGGAAAGGGTAGTCAGCTATTAGGCCAGCTTTGCACCGAAGCATTTAACAAATGGAAACACGCTTTAGAAAAATTTTCTACGCACGAAAAAACTAACTACCATCAAAATAGTGTAATAGATTTTCAACAAATTTCGTCAATTGTTACAGGAAAAACAGATTCTGTTTACCATCAATTAAACAAAACTGAAAAAATCCAGAAAGAAAATAATCGAAAAATAATAATCCCTGTTATTAATTCGGTAATATTGTGTGGTAGGCAAGGCATAGCTCTAAGAGGTCACCGCGATTCTGGACCACTTAATATAGATGAACCATTAATAAATGAAGGCAATTTTAGGTCATTATTAAGATTTTTTCTTAAGGCTACTACTTTATCTGGTGATGAAAGTTTTAAGTTAGCTAGAGAAAATTGCAGTAAAAATGCTCAATATATCAGCTGGAAAATTCAAAATGAAATAGTTCATATTTGTTTTGATATTATTACATCGAAAATTGTAAAAAAAATAAATGATAGTACGTTTTTTTCAATAATAGCCGATGAAACGGCTGATATATCAGGTGTTGAACAATTCGCTTTATGTGCTCGTTATTATGACGTGAACGAAAAAAAAATGTGTGAGAGTTTTTTAAAATTTGTTCCAGTGGATGATGTTAGTGGTCAAAGCTTAGCAAATCATATTATTACTGAGTTAAAAGGCTTAAATATTGAAATCAAAAATCTACGGGGTCAAGGTTATGACGGTGCCGCAAGTATGAGTGGGAAATTAAATGGTGTCGCAGCTTTAATTAGAAAAGAATATCCGAGTGCATTGTATATACATTGTAGTGCTCATAATCTCAATCTGTCAGTATCATATGCTTGCAATATTCAAGGAATAAGAAACACTATGGGTACTGTAGAAGCATGTTATAACTTCTTAAATACTCCGAAACGACAAAATTTTTTTAATATACATCTGGCTGAGTTGAAAAAAAAAGAAACTTCTTTAAATAAACAAAAACTTAAAAGGCTTTGCCCAACTAGGTGGGTTGAACGTTATAATTCAATAGAAACGTTCAATGAATTTTTCCCTGCAATTATTTATTGCTTGGAAGAAATGATTACATGGAAAGATATTGATACATCGAGTAAAGCTAATCAACTGCTTTTAGCATTGCAATCTTCTGAATTTAATGTAGCTCTCAGTATTCTCAACCACATTTTTCAGTATACGCAGTCTCTTTGCAAATATTTACAAAGTAAAAATATTGATTTGGTGGTAGCTGTTAATCATATTAATCTAGTAAAAAATCAATTAAGTTGTATAAGGGAAAACGCCACTACTGAATTTAACAAATTATTTATTGATATTAATAAAAGATTAAACGATTTTGAACTTACTATTGAAATGCCTAGATTAGCTAAGCGTCAAAAATACCGAAATAATATTCCGACAAAAGATCCCGAAGAATATTTTAGAATCATTTTATTTTTACCGTTTCTTGATTCGTTTGTACAACAATTAAACGATCGTTTTGTTAATCATCAAAACATAATATCTGGATTTCAAATGTTAGTTAAAAGCTCAGAGTTTGATGAAGAAAAACTAAAAGAGCTTGTTGAGTTTTATGCTAACGATGTTGATGATTTTGATCGAGTGAAATCAGAAACTATTTTATGGAATCGTTATTTGACTGACAGTAATATACAATATAATAGTATAATTCAAATACTTAATGAATGCAATCCAGATTTATTCCCAAATATATATAAACTATTACAAATACTTATCACACTTCCTATTACTTCATGTGAGGCGGAGAGATCATTTTCCACGCTTAAAAGGATCAAGAGTTACTTAAGAAATTCCACATCGGAAAGAAGACTTAATGGATTAGCTGCCCTCAATATCCACTACGAAGTCAGTGTAACACCAGAGGAAGTAATAAGTCATTTAAGCTCTACAAAACATCGTTTAGATTTCATCTTATAATTATAAATATTATACTTATATTATACTTTTATTATTATACTTCATTTTATACCGTAATTTTATTGTTACAGAAGTATAGGTACACATTGTACATAACTTTATTTTTTATGTTTATAATAATTAAATTTGCATGCTACTTTAAAATAATTATATTTTTGGACCCCCCCCTTAAAAAAATCCTGGTTGCGCCACTGGTCTATACAATACCTATTAAAGCCAAACCACCCCAAACTACTAACCTTATATTTTAAGTGACAACGCAAGTAAGGTACGCAGCTAGATTGAGCGTATTATAATTATTACTGTAGTGATGCAAAAATCGTACGTCGCAATGCGGTAGATAGTAAACCCTTCAAACCGGTAGAGTCAATAATAAATTAATAATAATAATAATAATAATAATATAAATATGACCAACATACGTGTTATAATACCATCCAAGTCCGTTAGCCGATACCATGCACATTTGAAAGTGTATCTCTCGCACACTCTTTTACTCTTTCCCTCTCTCTCACCCTTTACCTCTTTTATCTCTACCCCTGGTATCTAGGGAAACTCCGCGTCAATGGTTCATATTTTAAGTACCTATAGTGTATATAATATATATATTTATTATATGAACAGGTACTGTAGTTCGAGCTACTGTTGCCGTCGCCGTAATAATAATATAAAAACGACGGTGGTGGCGGCGTGGACCAGGTCTCGTATCACTTCGGGGCAGCCCTGAAGCACAAACACACTCATACATACACATACACACACACACACATATATATATATATATATATATATATATTTATACACATGTACAAAATATCTATCTACCTACCGTCTATACCTGTCTACCTAATACCTTCCCACTTCGACGTTATATTTGTATATATAGTGTTATATACATATGGAGAAGTCTTTACTTTTGTCGAGGCCGCGCGTGTGTGTATGTGCGATGGGAGGCGAAAACACGAATTCCATTAACGCGCGGGATTAAAGAGATATAAAAATAAAAAACATTGGATCCCCGAAATCCCGTCCATCCGGCGACGACGACGGAGACGATCACCTACCTGGACAACGTAGAATGGTATATATAGTTACGTTATAAGTATATACTATATATGCGTGTAGCGACCGTCAGTCGACGAGAAGTAAAAAAAAAAAAAAATAATAATGATCGTAATAAAAATACCAATTGCCCTCGGCATACGATCCTCTGGGCTCTGACATAATGAAAATATTCTATACAACTAGTATGTACAGGGGGCAATATTCGTCCTAATGTTAGTATAGGTGCATATTATTAATATATTATACCTGACGACGATGACGACTATCTCATAAAAGCGTTAGGTTAAATAAAGGCATAATATTACAAGTTTGCTTTATATTTTCAGGATCACAACAAATGCATTACAATAATAGCGGTTTTAACTCTTCAAGAGTATAGTGTTATAATCTCATTTTGTTAAAAGTCAATAATAAGAATAAAAAAAAAAGGACAATCTAATATTTTAACGAATCAATATGCAATGTATAATATTTAAGATGATTGTCTTAATGAATTTAAATGAATAGTCTGTACAAATTAAAATAGTTTTTTTTTTTTTTAATTATTGAAATATTTACCAAGAAATCATTGAATGGCTCGCATTAAAGTATTATCTCCTTATAAAACCTGGGTGCGCCAAAACGCTTTTTTATGCAGATAGTATAGATATTATATTTATGAGTTTTATATTAATATTTAATTCTGTTATAGGTCAATTAAGTATCATTATTATTGATTTCAATAATCACTTCGGTGAATAATATATGTGGGAAATGAAATGTTTATACTTTTTACGCATAAAATAAACATATAATTACCACTAGATAATAATATATAAAATATATTAAAACGTGTAATAAAATCAAACTACAACTCACTTACCGGTGTGCAGGAACAAGTGATTTTTCAGATTTGTGTGTTTGCTGAAACCTCTGTTACAAATGTGACATTTGAAAGGCCACGATCCGTTGTGAACGTACATGTGAGATTTCAGATCGCCAGGCGTCGGGAACGATTTGGCACATAATGTGCATTTGTGTGGTTTCTCCTGCAAACAAATACACAACGTTAAAATAATAATATTAATATTATATGATAACATATCGATTTAACTTGTCACATGACGTATACACAATTATTATCTATTTTTCTCCTTCAAAGGTTATATTATTATATAGCTTAGATATGTAGTCCGTTGGACAGTGTTGCGGTATCTTTTACGAATGATATTAATTGAGTTTTCAACGAAGACGTTAAATAAAAAATAACCGTTTTTACCGTTTAGGTCATAAAACCAATCGCCGCCACTGCGACGACTACTACCTATATATATTATTATTATTATACTGGTATATATATATATATTGCGCGATTCATTATTTTAACATAGACGTCGATTTCGAATCGTAAACACCAGCCACCGGACTTTGGGTTGGTTATATTATAATAATAATGTCTTGGGTGTACCTAATTGTAATTGACCCGTAAAAAAAACACGACGATAAAAAATTAAAACGATTAACGATATAGTATTTTAATACAAATATGTGATTCACGAGGAAAGATTACTATACGTATAGTAATACGACTTGAATGCGTCCACGGGCGCTGGTCATTTCAGAGTTTGGACAATAATAATAAATAATATAATATTACTTTTACACACACCTATCGTATAAAAACAATAACGGCGGTCGCGGTTTATCTGCGGCGTCATAACGTTCGTTATAATATAGTATTATATTTTACACAGGTAGGTACGGTTTGTTCCGAAATGATTTATTTTACTGTCTCACAAGTAAAATAATTTTTTTAAATATGTGAAGGTACTATAATACAGTTGGGTATACATCGTTCTGCACTTTTGTATGTCTCATATAGAGTCATATTATTACAGTCAATCGCGCTTAAAACGTACACCACTATAATATTGCCGCAACGTTATATTATCATAATATTACACGATTCGCGACGTCTATTGGTCTATTGATATAAATAATTATGCTAGATTAAACTCTCAAACAGTCATGAGGAGGTTTCGTTTACCCACGAGCTGTAAAAATTTAAAAAAAGTGGTAGTTTTATATACACTCTAATTATTATTTAAAGACATCTATTCACTAAAGTAATTATTATATTTTTTTATTAAATATAATGATCGAATTTAAGTGTTTACGAAAATAATGGACTCATCTGTAAAATGTAACAACATACGCGCACTTATTTTAAATAATGCTTAGGACTGTGAATCGATCGCTTCTAGTATATACATTTAAGGGTTAAGCAATGTGAAAACAGGGTTAAGCAATGTGAAAACAGTTCGGCCCTCATGTAATGATTTTCAATGAAAAAAAAAAAAAAAAGTATATACATTTAATACGTAATGAACGCGATTCAAAAGAAAAGTAAGGGCTTCTAGATTAATAATTACAAACTATTTTAGAAGATTCAGTTTTCAATGAATAATGACACGATGGACACACGAGGTGTGATTCTAGTGCGTCTTTGTCCGTATATTATATCCTGGATACTAACGATCTTTTTATAGTAGCTCGCGCGAACCGTTGCGTACACAAAACACGCGCGCGTGCACACACCACGATGCGAAATTATTGCTGTATAATTATTTATGTGTTCTCTCAAACTACTGGCCATTAGGTACGTAATACATAATTGTTGAACAAATGTATTTAATTTTTTCTTCCACCGGGCACCTGTTCACTGGTCGTTGTATTGATATTATGTATAGGTACTAGTTATAATATCATAAACACACGGCTGGAGGATAAAATGAAATTTCGATCATAGCCTGCAGCATAAAATCCGTACTTATAATAGATTTAAGCACACGCGTGATTCCTGCGATTATTACAATATTAAATTATACCATGCATAGACAGTTTTCGATGATAAGCATAAAACAAACGAACATAAACAGACGAAAACTCCAATATAATTTAAATGGCGTATTATTATTTACATATTATATGCACACAGCTTGGAAGACGGCAAATATATAATAAATTGTCCTCGTAATAATCTTGTATATTACTACTATTATATTAGGTACCAATTTCGCTGATTGTCGGGAAGTGCTCGCGTATACGAAGGCGAGGAAAAATTCATTTTAGTTGTCGAAGCTTGTGGGGGGGAGAAGTATAGCTAAGTCGGCACCTGTTCGGCGCACGCCAAGGTCGCGCGAGAGGTCCGCACGACACGGACCCGATGGCTGTAACAGCTACAGCAGCAGCAGAAGCAACCGCCACTATTGCTGCACCGGTCATCCGGCCTAGGGGAGTCTGGAGCGCGAAACGTTATAGGCACTTGCGTGTTTCCATCACCGTGTACCGGTTTCCGTGCACGTCACGCAGAGCGTATATTATATTATATTTATATTACACTGACGCCCGTGTTATTATACATAATATATATTTACAAATATACGTATATGCATGCGTTGTACACACTTAATATAATAATCATAACGAGAAAACGAAAAGAAAATAATATAATTATTATTGTTTTTTATAATTTTCTTATGTGTTTTATTATTATTTCGATGTCACTGCGATTACGGTACATCTGTTACCCAGGAAAATCGCTCTGAACGTGATTTTAACAACAGATTTATTATATAACGTATTATAATATTATAGATATATATATATTATTCGTCAAACGGAAGTTATTCATATTTTATCTATCACTGTTTCATTTTAACTTGCGCGCTCACGTCAGCCAAGTCCAATCTCAAATAATCGGACGTTTCGATCACTATACCAATACCAATATATAGGTATATTTATTAAATTACTGCATACACGTTTCCCCACTATTTCGTGCAGCACGCGATCTACGTTTGTATATTAAGAATGTATATACGACGAATAAAACACGACTGTGTGTTTATATCCTATACAGTTCGCGTGAACCACCCGACCAAACCGGCTGCCGCCCATTGACGACGACGATGGGTATCGTCAGGCTACCGGAGGTTTAAGTAAATTATACATCATATATGTATGTATACAGGAGGTACCTATATATATATGGCTTGATGTTATATTATACGTATTATACGAATGAGGGAAAAAAAACAATCTTTCGATTGATTCGGGGTCTGAATGGTACACGGCGAGGTATATACCGTGCAATAAATTATATAAATTACCCATGTATAACATATATATATATTCATGAACATACTACGCAGAGAGACAGAACCGTGCATGCAAAGATATTGTAGCTACAGCCATCGTTAAAGTCTCCGGGTCTAGTTTTTTGATATTTTTTTACCCAACAAAACAATGACGCGTTTTTTTCCTCTTTTTTATTAATGAGGAATACCCAATACCAAGTATAGGTACCACTAATATCGATTGTTTTGCAACGATACGAGTCATCGAGTCGATGGTCCAATATAACCAGGATTTTATCATTGCTGAGAAAAATAACGTAATCAAGTCTTTATATTATAGATATATAAATTTATGACTACATATATACATTATATACACAAATATATTTCGGTACTCTTTGTACGTAGATATGTGTACATGATAACGATGTAGCTGCCTGCTACTTGTTTAATTAATATATAAAATAACGACGCACGTGTTATACTTTCCATGTTATATTATCGGCGATCGTTCACGTTGTATTTGTAACGAACAATTTCAATGATTGTACAGTTTAACGTCCTGCTTAAATAGGTAAATAATATTAACAATCGCGTCTTTTTGCTGCCAAGTTATTACCTATATAATATATAGGTACACTATACAGTCAAAAACGACACCAATTATTTTTTACACGAAACTATATACAATAGCAACAAAATATGTGCGTTTTATTGTTGTATACTCTTATATTATATACGCGTATAACTGCAATATTGTTTAATTATATTGTAAACATTTTAATAACAGTATTTCATCGCACCACAGTGACGACGTAGGGAAATAATTTACTATGCTATCATAGATATATTTATAATATTATACACAGCTTCTGTGTGTTTGCTGCATTGGTGCGCGTGTATGATACGCACGTAGTTATTTAAAAGCATTTTTAATACATTCGGATAGACATGCATCGTCTTCGTCATTATTATCATTATCATTATCCATATGGGACGCATGTAATTTTATTGAAACAGACGTAACTTGAGGAAATTGGGTGTGGAGTGATGGCTGGGCACATTTGGTCCTAATGGATGTCTGACCCAAATACTGTATGACGGGACTCCGCGTGTATTATATTATTATTGTACGTATAGGTATATATTGTAGCAATCCCGGTCGCCTTCAAGCATAACGAACTACCGCTAGTTAATGAAGAAAACGCGCGGGGACGAAACGTTATAGCTGAATATAATACGTTCGTACAACAATATATATATATATATATAATTATTATTATATAAGAGGTAAACACGACGTTCATATCAATAAAGTACTATACCGACGACGACTGTCGGAACGAATCGTAAGGGTACGCCACCTGTCCGCCGCCACCGACTCTCCCGTCCGCGGAACACAAGGTGAATACCTGAATTACTATATATATATATGCATATGTAGGCACTGTAATAATAATTTAATAATTGTGACTTGCCCGGTAATTATTCGATCAATATAATATATATGTAGGTAGTACTGTATAACCATATGTATATATTTGTGAGTTTGATGGTATATATATATATAAGGGTGTGAGCTGCGCACAAAAGGCGAACAATGCATGCATATTATATAGTAATAATAATGTTTTCTTTTCATATATGGGGTGGACGGGGAACTAGGAGGGAGTTACAAAGAAACCGTACAGACCGCGCGTCTTTCTCAAATAATAATAATAATCATAATCATATTGAAAACGACTTCTGCGAGAACCCTTCGCGAGACCATTGTTCCCATTGTAAAACGATCAATACGACGACGGGCACTGCAACACCAAATGGGAGCTGATCCGACATGTTTTCACTATTAGGCCGCTGTACAATAATGATCATAATAATAATCAATTCTGATCGGCCGCGCGAGTCTT